CGCGTGTGTGTGTGTGTGTAGTGTGCGGTGTGTAGCATGTGCGTGCAGTGCGTGTAGTGCGTTACGAGTAAACGAGCAGCGGGGGATGTGCCTTTAGTGTTTGTTCAGCGTGTAGTGGTGGTGGCAGTGAGTGTGGTGGTGGTGGTGGTGAGTAGTGGTGGCGGTGAGTAGTGGTGAGCGTGGTGGTGAGTAGGAGCGTAGTGGCGATGAGCGTGGTGGTGAGTAGTTGTGAGTAGTGGTGAGTGTAGTGGTGGTGAGCGTAGTGGTGAGTAGTGGCGAGTAGTGGTGAGTGGTGGTGAGTAGTAGTGGTGAGTGGTGGTGAGCGGCTGGCGAGGGCTCTAGGCGGTTGACTCAGCGGCAGCGTCGCCATTCTCGGATTTCTGCTTCTTGGCGTCATTCTCGCCAGACTCCTCCTGCACACACACAGTACACACAGAGTACACACGCTGAGTACACACACAGTACACACACACGCAGTACACACACACACAGTACACGCTGAGTACATGCAGTACACACACAGTACACGCACACAGTACACACGCACACAGTACACACACCCACACAGTACACACACCCACAGTGCACACACAGTACACGCAGAGAGAAGACATGCCGAGTACACACAGCACACACACACACAGTACACACAGTGCACACACACACAGTACACGCTGAGTACATGCAGTACACACACAGTACACGCACACAGTACACGCTGAGTACATGCAGTATACACACAGTACACGCACACAGTACACACACACAGTACACGCTGAGTACATGCAGTACACACACAATACACGCACACAGTACACACACACAGTACACGCTGAGTACATGCAGTACACACACACACACAGTGCACACACACACAGTACACGCTGAGTACATGCAGTACACACACACAGTACACGCTGAGTACATGCAGTACACACACACAGCACACACACACAGTACACACACCAAGTACACACGCAGAGAGAGGACATGCCGAGTACACACAGCACACACACAGTACACACGCAGTACACACGCAGTACACACACACACAGTACACACGCAGTACACACACACAGTACACACGCAGTACACACACCCACCCTCACCCCTCACCCACCCTCACCACTCACCCATCCTACACCCACCCTCACCACTCACCCATCCTCCACCCACACCACACTTACTCACCCATCCAATCCTACACCCACCCTCACTCCTCACCCATCCTATACCCACCCTCACCACTCACCCATCCTACACCCACCCTCACCACTCACCCACCCTCACCACTCACCCATCCTACACCCCCCCCTCCCCCTCACCACTCACCCATCCTACATCCACCCTCACCACTCACCCACCCTCACCACTCACCCATCCTACACCCCCCCTCCCCCTCACCACTCACCCACCCTCACCACTCACCCCTCCTACATCCACCCTCACCACTCACCCACCCTCACCACTCACCCCTCCTACACCCACCCTCACCACTCACCCATCCTACACCCCCCCTCCCCCTCACCACTCACACATCCTACATCCACCCTCACCACTCACCCACCCTCACCAGTCACCCATCCTACACCCCCCCTCCCCCTCACCACTCACCCATCCTACATCCACCCTCACCACTCACCCACCCTCACCACTCACCCATCCTACACCCCCCCTCCCCCTCACCACTCACCCACCCTCACCACTCACCCCTCCTACATCCACCCTCACCACTCACCCACCCTCACCACTCACCCACCCTCACCACTCACCCATCCTACACCCCCCCTCCCCCTCACCACTCACCCATCCTACATCCACCCTCACCACTCACCCACCCTCACCAGTCACCCATCCTACACCCCCCCTCCCCCTCACCACTCACCCATCCTACATCCACCCTCACCACTCACCCACCCTCACCACTCACCCATCCTACACCCCCCCTCCCCCTCACCACTCACCCATCCTACATCCACCCTCACCCCTCACCCACCCTACACACACCCTCACCACTCACCCCTCCTCACCCCCCCTCCCCCTCACCCCTCACCCACCCTCACCACTCACCCACCCTACACCCACCACTCACCCACCCTACACCCACCCTCACCACTCACCCATCCTACACCCACCCCCACCACTCACCCATCCTCACCCCCCCTCCCCTCACCTGCGCTGGAGCATCAGCCGGGCGTTTGATGCCAACATCGCCCCCCGCCGCCTCTTTCACCACCTCCTTCACCGCCTCCTTCTCCTCCACCTTTTCCACCTTCTCCTTCTCCACCTCCTCCACCTTCTCCACCTCCTCCACCTTCTCCACCTCAGCCGCCTCATCCTTCTTCTGCTCGTCCACCTTCACGTCTCCGTCCGTCTTGTCGTCTCCGGCATCGGCCTTCTCGTCCGCCGTGGCGGCTTCGACTTCTTTGGTGGCCTCAGCAGTTTTGTCGGCAGCCGTCTTGTCGGCCTTGTCGGCTTCTGTCGTGGGAGCAGCAGAGTCGCCCTCCGTCGTGGGCGACGCTGCATCTACGGGGGACGACTCTTTCTTCTCCGCAGAGTCCACCGGCTTGACGTCACCGTCAACTGCGGGGGGGGTGAGCGGGGGGGGTGGGGGGTGGGGTGAGCGAGGGGTGAGGTCAACCCCTTCCTAGGTCGCACACCAGTCGCTCATCAACCTTCACAAATATTACCAACACACAACCATCACAACCATCACCCACCACACAACCAATGTCAACCATCACCACCCACAACAATCACCACACCCCACACACAACCATCACCACACCACCACACAACCATCACCACCACACCCCACACAACCATCACCCACCACAACCATTGTCAACCATCACCACCCACCACAACAATCAACACCCCACACACAACCATCAACACCACCACCACTCAACCAATGTCAACCATCACCACTCCCCACAACAATCACCTGACCCCACACACAACCATCACCACACCACATCCCACAAAACCATCACCACCACTCAACCAATGTCAACCATCACCACACCCCACACACAACCATCAACACACTCCACACACAACCCTCACCACCACCACCACAACCCTCACCACCACCACCACCACACAACCCTCACCACCACCACCACAACCCTCACCACCACCACCACACAACCCTCACCACCACCACCACACAACCCTCACCACCACCACCACACAACCCTCACCACCACCACCACAACCCTCACCACCACCACCACACAACCCTCACCACCACCACCACACCCCTCACCACCACCACCACAACCCTCACCACCACCACCACACAACCCTCACCACCACCACCACACAACCCTCACCACCACCACCACACAACCCTCAACACCACCACCACAACCCTCACCACCACCACCACAACCCTCACCACCACCACCACAACCCTCACCACCACCACCACACAACCCTCACCACCACCACACAACCCTCACCACCACCACCATCACAACAACCCTCACCACCACCACCACCATAACAACCCTCACCACCACCACCATCACAACCCTCACCACACACCACCACCACAACCCTCACCACCACCACCACACAACCCTCACCACCACCACACAACCCTCACCACCACCACCACACAACCCTCACCACCACCACCACCACAACCCTCACCACCACCACCACAACCCTCACCACCACCACCACAACCCTACCACCACCACAACCCTCACCACCACCACCACAACCCTCACCACACTCCACACAACCCTCACCACAACCCTCACCACCACACAACCCTCACCACCACCACCACACAACCCTCACCACCACCACCACCACAACCCTCATCACCACCACCATCATAACAACCCTCACCACACACCACCACCACAACCCTCACCACCACCACACAACCCTCACCACCACCACCACAACCCTCACCACCACCACCACAACCCTCACCACCACCACACATCCCTCACCACCACCACCACAACCCTCACCACCACCACCACAACCCTCACCACCACCACCACAACCCTCACCACCACCACCACCACAACCCTCACCACCACCACACATCCCTCACCACCACCACCACACACCCACCACCACCACACATCCCTCACCACCACCACCACAACCCTCACCACCACCACCACCACCACACATCCCTCAGAAACCACCACCACAACCCTCACCACCACCACTCAACCCTCACCACCACCACCACACAACCACCACCACCACCACCACACCACCACCACCCACTGGGTGTGTCCTCACCCTTGTCGGCAGCCTTGCTATCGCCATTCTCTTTCTCGCCACTTGCAGACTCCTGCAGCAAAACAAAAACGACGAACATCTGAAACTACGGCCAACTGAGGTACCTACACACAGACAAAGATCCCCCGTGTAGCCTCTAGCAGGCTGTAGGGGCAAGTGCTGTCAGTAGCACCTACACAGACAAAGATCCCCCGTGTAGCCTCTAGCAGGCAAATGCTGTTAGTAGTAGCACCTATACAGAGTCGGCCTTTGACACGATCATAACAGGAGCATGACGAGTGAGTGAGGTGAGTACGTGACACCTCACCCCCCCACCACCACCGCCCCTCACCCCCCCACCACCACCGCCCCTCACCCCCCCACCACCACCGCCCCTCACCCCCCCACCACCACAGCCCCTCACCCCCACACACCCCCACCACCACCGCCCCTCACCCCCCCACCACCACCGCCCCTCACCCCCCCACCACCACCGCCCCTCACCCCCCCACCACCACCGCCCCTCACCCCCCACCACCACCGCCCCTCACCCCCCCACCACCACCGCCCCTCACCCCCCCACCACCACCGCCCCTCACCCCCCCACCACCACCGACCCTCACCCCCCCACCACCACCGACCCTCACCCCCCCACCACCACCGACCCTCACCCCCCACCACCACCGACCCTCACCCCCCCACCACCACCCTCCCCTCACCCCCCCACCACCACCCTCCCCTCACCCCCCCACCACCACCCTCCCCACCACCACCACTGCCCCTCACCCCCACCACTGCCCCTCACCCCCCCCCACCACCACCCCCTCACCACCACCACTGCCCCTCACCCCCCCCCCCACCACCACCCCCTCACCACCACCACCGCCCCTCACCCCCCCACCACCACCGCCCCTCACCCCCCCACCACTGCCCCTCACCCCCCCACCACCACCACCACCCCCACCACTGCCCCTCACCCCCACCACCACCACCACCCCCACCACTGCCCCTCACCCCCCCCCCCCCACCACCACCCCCTCACCACCACCACTGCCCCTCACCCCCCCACCACCACCACCCCCACCACTGCCCCTCACCCCCACCACCACCACCACCCCCACCACTGCCCCTCACCCCCCCCCCCCCACCACCACCCCCTCACCACCACCACTGCCCCTCACCCCCCCCCACCACCACCACCCCCACCCCCCACTCACAGTGGTGCCGTTGGCGGGGGTCTTGTTGTCTCCGGCTCCGTTCTCGGCTGCTGGCTTCGCGTCCCCGTCCACCGTCACCTCCTCCTTGCTCATCTCCTTCAGCTCTTTGGGTTCCTTCAGATCCTGCAGCGCCACAGCGAGAGAGCGGAGTTAGTGGAACCTACACACAGACAAAGATCCCCCGTGTAGCCTCTAGCAGGCTGTAGGGGCAAGTGCTGTCAGTAGCACCTACACACAGACAAAGCTCCCCCGTGTAGCCTCTAGCAGGCTGTAGGGGCAAGTGCTGTCAGTAGCACCTACACACAGACAAAGATCCCCCGTGTAGCCTCTAGCAGGCTGTAGGGGCAAGTGCTGTCAGTAGCACCTACACACAGACAAAGATCCCCCGTGTAGCCTCTAGCAGGCTGTAGGGGCAAGTGCTGTCAGTAGCACCTACACACAAAGATCCCCTGTGTAGCCTCTAGCAAGCTGTAGGGGCAAGTGCTGTTAGCGAATAGCACCGATGAAGGCCGGCACGGCACACGAGGGGGTGGGTGGCCAGCACCACACCCGGCCGCCTTTGTCTCCCCAGTGGCCGTGTTTACTACACACCGTTACACCAGGTACTCATTTGATGCCGAGTCGACCTAGGGGAGGGCCCGGGACCGGTTCAGATAATCGTCACCGGTGTTGGCCGTGAGCGGGAATCGCCGGGTTCATAGCGCAGCGTAGCGCTACCCACTGCACTACCCAGACACTCACACACATCACACCCGCACTACTACAGCCCATTCCAATTCCCGCCATTCGCCACTAAGTGACGGTGACGTCACCACGGCGCCTGTGCCGTGGTGACGTCACCCCCCACCCACCCACTTCAGCCGAAGCACATAAACCCAACTTCACTCCCTTGCACAGATCACTTAGACCCAGCACTCTCCCCCCCCTACCCCACCCTCCCTCAGCACCCCTACCCCACACACCCTCCCTCACCACCCCGACCCCACCCTCCCTCACCACCCCGACCCCACCCTCCCTCACCACCCCGACCCCACCCTCCCTCACCACCCCGACCCCACCCTCCCTCACCACCCCGACCCCACCCTCCCTCACCACCCCGACCCCACCCTCCCTCACCACCCCGACCCCACCCTCCCTCACCACCCCGACCCCACCCTCCCTCACCACCCCGACCCCACCCTCCCTCACCACCCCGACCCCACCCTCCCTCACCACCCCGACCCCACCCTCCCTCACCACCCCGACCCCACCCTCCCTCAGCACCCCTACCCCACCCTCCCTCCCTCACCACCCCTACCCTCCCTCACCACCCCGACCCCACCCTCCCTCACCACCCCGACCCCACCCTCCCTCACCACCCCGACCCCACCCTCCCTCACCACCCCGACCCCACCCTCCCTCACCACCCCGACCCCACCCTCCCTCACCACCCCGACCCCACCCTCCCTCACCACCCCGACCCCACCCTCCCTCACCACCCCGACCCCACCCTCCCTCACCACCCCTACCCCACCCTCCTTCCCCAACCCTACCCTCCTTCCCCAACCCTACCCCACACTCCCTCACCTCCCCTACCCCACCATCCCCCACCCTCACCACCCCTACCCCACCCACCCTCACCTCCCCTACCCCACCCACCCTCACCTCCCCTACCCCACCCTCCCTCACCACCACTACTCTCCCTCACCACCCCGTCTCCCTCACCTCCCCTACCCCACCCTCCCTCCCTCACCACCCCTACCCCACACTCCCCCACCCCCCTTACCACCCCCCCTACCCCACCCGCTCCCTCACCTCCCCTACCCCACCTCACCCTCACCTCCCCTACCCCACACTCCCTCCCCTCCCCCACACTCCATCCCTCACCACCCCTACCCCTCCCTCACCACCCCTACCCCACCCTCACCACCCCCCTACCCCTCCCTCACCACCACTACTCTCCCTCACCACCCCTACCCCACCCACCCTACCCCACCCTCCCTCACCCCTCCCTCCCCCCACACTCCCCTCCCCCCACAGCCCTACCCCACACTCCCCTCCCCCCACAGCTCATTTGAGTGTCAAGTTTCGCGGAAATCCAAATAAATACTTTCCCCGCTCGCCCCACAATCTACTTCTGCTTTGCGCGAGAGCATTTCTCGCTGGTACCGGTTTAAATAAATACTTTTAACTTCTTTCATTTTTAAATCCTTTATATTAAGTTCGCTTGCTTGCTTGCGTGCTTACGACCGTGCAAATCTTTCTGTCGTTTTTTAACCCACTTCCCGTGATCCAATCGAGCTGACATTTTGCACACAGACTCGTTGTGCCAGACAATTTATTTTCAAAATGTTACACTTTTTAGGAATAAATTATATTTAATTACCAATTTCTTAATGGTGGCAGGCAATCACCTGACCCATAGGTGGCAGCCATCTCAAGCCAGAGGACGAGAGGACTCTAGCCGCCACGCATATAAAGGATTTAGAGTGAAAAACTTTGTTTTTACGGGTTAATTTTCTTACCATTCAAAGCCCCCCCCCACCTCGGCCAAAATGTATCCTGCGAACTTAGTTTGCAAACGCGATTGGGGTCGGGATCGAACTCCCCCAACAGGCCTCCTCCTGCATACCAGGCCAGGTCGTTAATAGCTCTCCCACCTCCTCGAGCAAACAGTGGTCTGCATTTTCCCCGGGGTTCCGGTCTTTCTGGATCATCTCTTTTAAGAAGAGTTACACTTTGACACCCAAGTGATGAATAGCGTCCCCACACCCAGTGTAGCCTCTAGCAGGCTGCAGGGGCAAGTGCTGTTAGTAGCAGCACCTACAAACAGACAAAGATCCCCCGTGTAGCCTCTAGTAGGCTGTAGGGGCAAGTGCTGTTAGTAGCAGCACATACAGACAAAGATCCCCCGTGTAGCCTCTAGCAGGATGTAGGGGCAAGTACTGTCAGTAGTACCAGCACCTACACAAACAAAGATCCCCCGTGTAGCCTCTAGCAGGCTGTAGGGGCAAGTGCTGTCAGTAGTAGCACCTACACACAGACAAAGATCCCCCGTGTAGCCTCTAGCAGGCTGTAGGGGCAAGTGCTGTCAGTAGTAGCACCTACACACAGACAAAGATTGCCCGTGTAGCCTCTAGCAGCCTGTAGGGGCAAGTGCTGTCAGTAGCAGCACCTACACACAAAGATCCCCCGTGTAGCCTCTAGCAGGATGTAGGGGCAAGTACTGTCAGTAGTACCAGCACCTACACAGACAAAGATCCCCCGTGTAGCCTCTAGCAGGCTGTAGAGGCAAGTGCTGTGAGTAGCACCTACACACAGACAAAGATCCCCCGTGTAGCCTCTAGCAGGCTGCAAGGGCAAGTGCTGTTAGTAGTAGCCAGTAGTAGCACCTACACACAGACAAATATCCCCCGTGTAGCCTCTAGCAGGCTGTGTTACACATCACACACACACACAGCTAGCAGTTACACATCACACACCTACCACGACACAACAACAACCGCCATTCGCCACTAAGTGACGTCACCACGACGCTTGTGCCAGGCCATGTGCACCTTGAGGCCACGTGAAGTGTCGAACGCCCGCTGGCAGGAGGTTACGGGGCAGACCCAGGTGCGACTGACCGAGATGACTGGCTGATGCACCACCCGTGCCCCCTACTGTACCAACTTGCTGTGCTTTAGCCACCCGGCACTCCGCTCGTTGTTGTGAGCGTCGCTTCTCCGCCCTCCGTTGTTGTTGGAGGGCGACTGCCTCCAACTGCCCAGTAGCATCCTTCACGAGCCTCCTCCACTGAGGCCGATCTTGACACCGCTGGTACCAGTCATCGGCAAGTCCACTCAGCTCCACGTCCTCCTGTACCACATCACTCCATCTCTTCTCCAGCCCGCGCCGCGCCCGCTTAGCCCCCTCGATCCGGCCGAACAAAAGCTGTTTAGGCATGCGGTGGCTGGGCATGCGGGCTACATGACCCAGCCAACGCAGCCTTGCCTGCCGGAGGAGCTCACCGATGGGGACTTTGCCCAGATCTTTCAAGGATTTGTGAGCTCCTCACACGATCCAGCCTGGTTAAACCCAGGATGGATCGTAGGCAGGCCAGCCTAAATGTTTCCAACCAGCACAGATACACAGCATCCGCACGTACGCAAGCCGAACTTCTTTCGCACAGTACAAAGCTACGATTGTCGTCTGCGAGTGGAGGGAGGATAATCAAGGACTCGGGTCACCGGGTTCATGGCTGCTTTGCGTTCTTCGCCCGCATCGAGATTAGCACGGTCGGCTAAGCGCGATGTGCGGTACAAAAAATGCTCAACGTGCACACACACACACGCATGCACAAGACGCACTACGTACAAATGTCGGAAGAGTGCTAAATAACCACGACTGCCTACACAGTAGGACCCCTGGTGTGGTGCGGTGTACAGTGGTGTAGTGGTGAAGTGTGCATTGTGGTGCAGTGGTGAAGTGTGCATTGTGGTGCAGTGCATGGTGGTGCAGTGCGGTGCAGTGCATTGTGGTGCAGTGCATTGTGGTGCAGTGCAGTGCATTGTGGTGCAGTGCATGGTGGTGCAGTGCGGTGCAGTGCATTGTGGTGCAGTGCATGGTGGTGTCGTGCAGTGCAGTGCGGTGCATTGTGGTGCATTGTCGTGCAGTGCATTGTGGTGCAGTGCATGGTGGTGCAGTGCGGTGCAGTGCATTGTGGTGCAGTGCATGGTGGTGTCGTGCAGTGCAGTGCGGTGCATTGTGGTGCATTGTCGTGCAGTGCATTGTGGTGCAGTGCATGGTGGTGCAGTGCGGTGCAGTGCATTGTGGTGCAGTGCGGTGCAGTGCATTGTGGTGCAGTGCATGGTGGTGTCGTGCAGTGCAGTGCATTGTGGTGCATTGTCGTGCAGTGCATTGTGGTGCAGTGCATTGTGGTGCAGTGCATTGTGGTGCAGTCAATTGTGGTGCATTGTGGTGCAGTGCATTGTGGTGCAGTGCATTGTGGTGCAGTGCATTGTGGTGCAGTCAATTGTGGTGCATTGTGGTGCAGTGCATTGTGGTGCAGTGCATTGTGGTGCAGTCAATTGTGGTGCATTGTGGTGCAGTGCATTGTGGTGCAGTGCGATGCAGTGCGGTGCAGTGCATTGTGGTGCAGTGCATTG